TGCGAGAGTGTAGAGGGGGGAGCGGGGCCGGGGGGGGGGGGGGGGGGGGGGGCAGGCAAGAAGGTGGCAGAGAAATGCATGCAAAATGGGGTGGGTGCAACAAACTAACCTGAAGCCAAGCCTGTTAGGTCAGGCTGAGGTGGGTGAGGAAGGTCAGGCAGCATTGCTGCCCAGGAGCCTGATTTCCAGGTCTCTGCACTTGTGTATTTCAGAGAGAGTCGAGCCCACTGCATTGACATTGAGACTGCATACATGCAAGGCTGTGAGAAGCTGGACCAAGCAGTGATGGTGGGTCGGAGCTGTGGGACGTACCTGGGATCTGGGGCTGCTCTGTCCAGGGGAGGCTGCTACTGTCAGCATCAGTACTGCATCAATATTGCTGGTTTAAATAACAGTCATTGCCTATTAACAGGCAAGCAGACTTTGCTGGGCGCTGGCCCTGTCCACGGCCCAGCCTCTAACTATCGCCACAGTGTCCGTACCATACTTCGTTCCTAGGCTGTGAAAGAGCTCCAGACATCCACACGAGAGGCCATCGTTCTCCTCAAAGCCATGATCGAGGAAGTCCGCAACAGTGCCAATGAGGAGGAGACTTCCATCAATTCACTCTTCAGCAACATGCAGGTATTGAGGGGTTGGAAGTGGCTCCTGGTTGAACCTCTACTGTTCAGCTGCCTCAGCAGGCAGAGGGTGATGGGCAGCTACACAGCCTCACAGGGCATGAGCAGCAACGCCACCTCCCCACCCCTATCCCCAACAAATCATGCTAAAAGGATCCTCACCAAATCAGTTGACACATGGAGCAGATTACTGATTTAGCCCTGGAGCAGAACTGGCTTTTCCTCCCACGAGGCAGCTGTGACATCAGTGGGGTTACTGACTGGCAGCAGCCTCCTTCCCTGGCAGATGCTCGTTTCACAGGGAAGAGTAAGTGTGGGAAAGCCCCACACACTCCTGACCCAGGGGGTCTTTGCTGTTAGCAGGTGACAGTAACCTGGAGCCTCCAGTGAAGGGACTGTTTGACCATCTTTCCTTTTGGCAGGAAAAACTAGCTGAAAGAAGAAAGATGCTTCTGAAAGTTGCTCAGAGGTAAGGGCAGGCTGGACAACTACAGCCTGTTGCACTGGTGTTTGGTTTCTGTCAGCATGGAACATGGAAAGGGCTGGGGGCAGCGCCTGGCTCTGTAGGGGATCTACAAATGGCTTCTCTAAAAGCACCACATTCCTGACTATACAAGAGTCTGCAACCAGGGGGGAGGTACATTTGTAGCAAGAACATCTGCGCTAAACAGAAATCAGCAGCCCTACCCACCTTCCAGAAATGGAGTTAGAGGTTTTCCTTGGGGGTGCTGCTGCTTGGGTTCGTATCAACTGTAATACAGCTGATGATCATTCTCTACTCTCTGCTGTGCTCACACAAAGGGGCTGAAGCCTGTGCTGACATGTGTGGGAAGGCAGCCAATTGTTAGCCATTCTTCAAAAAGCATTTGCACGTTTAAGTTTGCAACCAACTCTGCCCCTTTCCATCCACAGGCACCCAAAACAGGAGCAGAATCAGGTCCATGGTGTTAATCCCACACATGGTGTTGTTACAAGCTTTGTTGCTCACCTCAGACATCCAAGCAGCCAGCTGTTAGTGCCTGCTGCCATGTTCCTGACTGCAAACCCAGGATTTTATGGGTAGCTGGAAGCTGGACTTGATGGGTCTTAGCATCCTGCTCAGAGGACAAGGTGCCCTCTAGTGTCAGCATTTAGATCACCAGCTCAACTCAACTCAATCAATGAGTACCTCTCCTTCACCACAGTGCGGGCCCCTCCATCTAGCCCCACTGTCCTGAAGCCCAACTCCCAGCAGATGCGTTCTTTTGTTCCCCTCCAAAGAGAGGCCCTGGGGTCACACTGGAAGCTCCTGCAGGGGCTTCCTTTACTTGCCTGATAATGCAGGCAACAGTCATATCTCCCACTTTTTAGTGAATATTTTTTTACCACCAACCTTTGAGCATTCAGGGGGCCAGAGACCTGCAGGGAGAGTGCTTGGAGCACAGCAAGATGCCCACCTGCCCCTTTCTGCAAAGCCAAGCTCCAGGCTGGGCTCTAGGCTGGCACCTTCTTTAAGCAGCCCAAGCCCAGGGCTAAGGTTAAATTAAAGGTCGTTTTTTGTCTCACTTGCAGTCAACATGAAGAAAAGGAAAAGGCATTCAAGGAGCAGCTCTCCCATCTGGCCTCCTTGCTCCCCACCCTGCAGGTAAGAGCTAGCATGTGCCCGGGAAATCTTCCTGAGAAGCCTTGATGCACCATGCCACTAACCAGCCTTCTGACAGGAGAGCTGGCTGCCTGGTCTTGGAGCCACAGCAGCCTTTGCCTACTCCTTTGCGATATGTCTCTAGGAGCGCTAGATCAGCATGACTATGAGCCCTTCCCTGGCCCTATACTGGGAGCCTGGGGAGCAAGGGTGCTTGCCAGCAATTGGCAAGGCCATGTCTTCACAGATCTCTCCACTCCCAGCAACCATTTTCTCAGCAAACAAGCAGTGGGGAAACCAAGGGAAACCAAGCCAAAACCCGAGGGGTGCTGAGCAACTGCAACTCCTGCCAAGCTGTGCTGTACTCCTGATGACTCCAGCAATGCAGAACTGTACCCATGGGTATCAGTGAAAGCAACAGATAGTCTGCACCTCCCTGGATTTGTCCAGGCCTATGGCTGAAACTGTGCAATCCCATTCCCAGAAACGGGGTGGCTCTGTTGCCTATACAGCTTGGGTTTTTTTCCCATAGGTGGTAGGGATTTTCCACCTGGTCTTTTTGGGCCATATTACCACCCTTGCTGCTGTGACCTCTGCTGGTCCAGCACTGATTGTTTTCACCTGCAATAAGGTGCCCCATGAGTGAGAGAAACCTCTTTCCAGGTCTGGAGGCTGGGCATGTCACAGCAGATGACTAAAGTAATACTGCTACCTCTTATCATGCCCAGGTCCATCTGGTCACCTGCTCTGCTTTTCTGAGCTCTGCAAACAAAGCTGAATTCCTGGATTTGGGATATGTAAGTACATTTGGAGAACAGCCTGTCTGCTTGTGCCAGAACAGGCCCAGAGCCAGACATCTCACCAGGGAATGAGGGCTGGGTAAGCTGCTCTGAGGAAAGAGCAACCAGCACTTTTCACAAATGGCAGCTGAGCACTTTCCCTGAAGTGAGAAAGCTCCTGGCTCAGCCTGGCATGCTCTGGGAGTTTTTTGGTCTCCTCTGCACCTTGGTGTCAGCAGGGGTGGGGAGGATAAATGCTGGGATGGGGTGACCTCACCTGAGTAAGAAGCCAGCATTTTCCCTGCCGGGCTTCCAGGCAGGAAGACAGCCACACAGATGCATGCAGCCAACCCTGCACCAAGGCGCCAGGACCCTCACTGCCCCCTGAAGTTCTGCAAATTGGATCAAAAAGTAATTCTCTGTTGACCATGTAAAGATGCATGTGCTCAAAAATGCACACAGGAAGGTGCCAGCTCCCAGGATTGTGGAGTGCATCTGGCTTTGGCCAACAGGCCGAGCTAAGCCAAGCCATCAACTGTAATGCAAGATCCCCTGTGTTTTACTGGCTCATTTCAGCAACTGATGGAGAGGCTGCAGAAAATAGTGAAGCTCCCACACCGCCTGAGACCCACCCAGACGAGCAAGGTCAGTCCTTTCCTCCCAGCCCACAGTGCACAGCTGCAGAAATTTCCAGGGCTTTGGTCCTGGACACAGCCTTTCCCTAGTCGTACTGGCACCCATTCCTGGCCTGCCCTGTACCGGTCTTCAGCTTACCTGTACACCTCCAAGACAGCAATGTCACACCCTCTGCTCTTACTTCCTCACCTCCCCAGCTCCATGCTGCCACCTACTCACTAATCTTGCACAAAACGCCTAGCACCCAAAGAGCTGTCTTCATTTATAAAACAAAAAACTAAAAGCCCTCCAGTGGGATAGTTCCATCCTGTTCTAATGGGCATTTCATCCTTGCCTGCATGAAGAGTATTTTACCACCCCACCAAGTGAAGCGAAAAGGACTTCCCTCATAACTTTGCCTTGCAGTCAGCTCTAGCTGATGCTGTGAATCCTGTCAGCTAGTTCTCAGAGCACAGCCTCCTGCACTACGTTGGTGTCTTTGCCCCAGGGGTGAGCACACTGGCTGGCAGCTGAGCAGCAGAATATTCACCGATGGGAAAGCCTGGCCACCAGACATGCTAATCTGTTCTCTTTTTGCCCTATTCAGATAAATACCGAATACCGGGCAGAGTTTGCCCACTGCTTGGAACCGCTGCTGATGTTGAATCCACGCCGCTCAGTGGTGGGGAGTGGAGGTGGCATTGGACCTGGCATTAGCAATGGAAATATGTGAGATGCTGCTTGTCAGCTATATATTTGGGGAGGGAAATGACACACAGACTGCAGCTGCCTCCAATATCAAGCAGAACATTTGGAGAAGTATTGAAATGATGTTGTAGCCCTGATGGTCCAGGAGTTACGCGAGAGGCAAAGATTTTTTATGGGCGATATCTTTTAATGAACAAAATGCATGGTTGATATAGACTTAGACAAGCTTTTGAATGCAAATGTGAAGAATGCTTTCACATTCAAAAGCCTAAGTCTTTCCCAATCGTGCAGCTGTCCAAGAAAAGATATCACCCACAGAAATACCTGCCTCTTGAAGAAGTGCTAACTTAGTGTAGTATAGGCCAAAAAAGACAGTTTTTGTAAATGAAAACTCAAAAAAACACCTTATAAGAATGGTCTTAGAAAGAGGCTGTGACAGGTAGTTATGCACTGGATTAAATCTCTCACTCTTTAAACCACCAGCCCAGCCACATTCAGAGCCAAGTCACTGCTAGACTCAGAGAGAGTAGCATCCCTCATTACCATGATCTTTGTGGGCTGGTTTTGAATGGTTTAAATTTGGTAAAGTAACCTAACTTGATACAGGCACAAAGATAACACACAGAGAAGCTTTAGAAAAACTAGCATGGCCCTGACAGACCCATTCAAAGTGGCTTCACCCAAAAGAGCAACCACTGTACACCAAATGCAGAGCTAAAAAAGGTTACAACAGCCACATTAGCCACTGTCCTGAGCAATCTCCAAAAGGCCCACTGCTACAACTTGGAGTGGCAGTTTTATGCATGTGCTAGCATTAAGTAGACCAGCAGGTCTAAGCAGCTAGTGCTCCCGAAAGGAATGGCCCAACAGCAACAGCTTAAAGCAGGCATCTTGTGGGTCACCCTCTGAAAACTGCCTGCATGCCAATGTGCTAGGGGGGACCACCCAAGACCTGCAACAGCATACTGTTCTAACACAGCCCTGTTTCCTGTAGACGCCAGCCCAGACCACTTCATCCAAATCTCCTGCCACTTGAACACAGAGCTCCATCTTTCCAGTTAACTGCCCTTGAGCCTGCCACGGCAAGAGGTGTCCTAGGGACAGTGCCTGCAAACAGCTGTGCTGATTAATGACAGGAATAAGTATAGAGGCTTAAACTGACAATTCCTGGAAACCAGGGTTTGGAGCACAAGGACGAGCTGAGTGTCTACAGGAGAAATAGCAGGGGACCCAGGAAAGCAGGTCACCCTTGCTGCAGAGCTGTGAGCACAAGCTGGGGCAGCTCCAGGTAGCTCTGCTTTAGTTTTGCAACAGCTTCAAGCTGTAGCTAGACCCTCACAGAAATTCCCCAGCGTACAGATCGACTCTTCCCAGTAAATATTAGCCAGTTATTTTTACATGACCCAAGACAGATAACATTTGTTAGTCAGTGCCTGGCACCTTCCCTAATTCTGCTCAATGTGTAAATCCCACTGCAGGAGAATTGCCAAGATCTGGTAGGAAAGCAGCATGCACTACCAAGGAACACCTCCATTACAATAATCATTTACAAGGCTGCAGCCCTCTCTCCTGATCCACAGGAAATGCAGCAAGAGGATATGGATTACATACTAGATCTCATACAACAACCACTGATACATTCCCAGCAAACTTGTCACTCACAACTAGGGGAACTTCCAAAGTAACTGAGGGATGCTGGAGGAAAAACCCTCCTCCCCAGCAGAGATTTAATTAGGAGAAGTCCAAATGCCCACTTAACCCTATGATACATTTTACCAAGCTCCCCTAAACACAGGCTCTCAGAACCCAGGTGTGGGCATCTCAGAGCTGGACAGCAAAGGCAGGCTGAGTACCTTGTCTGCCCAACTCTGCTGCTGTGCTCTGTCTTGCAAAGCACACTGCCTCCCAGACACAGATGGGGTAGAAAAGCCCTGAGCAATGCTTAATGATTGTGGCAGGAACTAACTTGCCATCCCAACTAATTAACTGCTCCCGACAGCTGTCCTGGGGCACGAGCTAACACCACTGCAAGTTACATGCTGCAGAAACCGCCTGCCTCACCTGCGTGCTGGGTCTCAGCTGAGGCCTTGCACAGCCTATTCATCTGCCACTATTTTTATCAGAATTTCAAAGAACTCTCCAGGGCACAGTTCCCTTGCACTGGATATATTTAGGCCTATTGATGTCACAGGCAGGCTAGGCCCCTCCAGTATGCCCCAGCTGCTCTCTGCACAAACAGGGCAAATAGTTTCTCATTGTGACGCAAGGACAGCTCCTCGTTTCCAGCCAGGCTTTGCAGTGTAAGGAAACTAATGATTTTGCCGGGAGCTGAGAGAGTCTTTCC